TTTCGGATTTAATGAACGAGTCAAACTCTTTTCTTGACGAAATGTAGCGGAAAGGAAACGAAGGAAATCCCACCCACCATCTCTCCTTTTTTCTTCGTTTTCCCACGGGTCGGTTCAACCGAATCGGATTCGGGTTAAAGATGTAGAATGTTAGATACAGTAGAGTTGGAGATGTAGGGAAGCGGGCGGGCGGGTTGGAGGTGGGGACCCGTGTTATGAAATCAAAGTGGGGCCCGAGAGTGCCAGGTGGCAAAGTGACGCACTATCTGATGTAATTATACTAAAATCTTACCTATTACGTAGAAAATCCAAATCCATTTTGGTCTTCGTCCAACCCTTTTTATAGCCGAACGCATTGCACCGGTAAAAGACTTCACAGACTTCACCCACGCATACACACCCCTTTTCTTTTTCTCTCTCAATTTCCTTTCTTTTCTCTCTCTTTACACCTTCTTCACTGTCGTTTGTTTACTGATCTGTTTTCCAGATCTCTCTCTCTGATTTATGGACAAAGGATGGGGCCTAACCCTCCGTGATTCTGAGTCTATTGGGTTCTTCTCAAACAAGCCTCCCACTTCTGGGGATTTGAATTACCGACACCCCACCATTAGAATGTTCCAAGGGATTGAATTTCCGGGCAAGCTTGGCCGGACTGATCACGACGACGCTGCTGCTCCCACGCCGCCCGACGACAACAACCGCTTGGCCGTCAACGAGGTTGATTTCTTTTCCGACAACAAAAGAGTGCTTGACGATCGGGAGGATCATCAAGACTCCAAACCCACAAATATTGTCACCACCACCACCGGTGTCAATAAATTAGAAGACAAGATTTTGGCACCTCCCAGGCCTGCCTTCAATATTGTAAACGTAAGCTTCTTCGCACACCCGATTTTTTTCTGAATTGAATTCCGGGTGTAGCTAAATTGGTTTGTTTAATTTAATTCAGACTGGTTTGCACCTGCTGACTGCTAATACCGGAAGCGATCAATCCACGGTGGATGATGGGATTTCATCGGATGGTGAAGACAAGCGAGCCAAAAACGAGGTAAATTTAATTAAACACCAAGAATTTTAATTTCTATTTGTTTCTCTTCTTTTTAATTTTCTGGGGTGGCCCAATTATTGAGAATTGAATTTGGTCCCGTCCAGCTAGCGCAGCTTCAAGTGGAGCTGCAGCGTATGAACGCCGAGAATCACAAGCTGAGGGACATGCTAAGCCATGTGAGCAACAATTACAGTACCCTACAAATGCATCTCTTTACCTTAATGCAACAGCAGCCGAATCAGGCATCGGAACCACCTGCGCATGCCCATGAGCGAGAGGTAATTAACAATAATTTTTTATGGTCATAATTAATGAAATTGTTTTGTGTACAATTAATTGAACAAAGATGGTATTTTGATTTTAAAGATTGGGGAGAAGAAACCGGGAGAAAAACAAGATCAAGTTGGAAGGGTGCAGGTGGTACCGAGGCAATTTATGGATCTAGGACCCAGTGGGACAGCCGAAACCGACGAGTTATCCAATTCTTCATCGGACGAAAGAACTCGTTCCGGGTCTCCATTGAACAACGCGGCGGAAACCGCCTCAAAAAAGAGCAGTGGGAGAGATCAGGAGATGCCTCCCAGCTTTGATCATCAGGACAATAATTCCAATTTCAGATCAGACAACAAAAGATCCATTGGTGGCAGAGAAGAAAGCCCCGAGTCTGAATCCCACGCTTGGGGACCTAATAAAGCCCCCAGATTGAACTCTTCAAAACCACTCGATCAATCAACAGAAGCCACCATGAGAAAAGCACGTGTCTCCGTCCGTGCTCGATCAGAAGCGCCCATGGTACGTCCTACCCTCCTAATATATATAAACCCCTTTTTCTTATTAATTAAATTCCTTCAATTACATTTTAATTTCTCAAAATTAAAACTCCACAGATTTCTGATGGATGTCAATGGCGAAAATATGGCCAGAAAATGGCTAAAGGAAACCCGTGTCCACGGGCTTATTATCGCTGCACAATGGCAGTTGGCTGCCCAGTTCGCAAACAAGTATGTTATTTTTACTGTAATCCATAGAGCTGAAATTCAATTTTGGGTTCAATCAGCAAAATTATCTTATTTATTTTTCCGATATGAATTTGTAGGTCCAACGTTGCGCTGAGGATAGGAGTATATTGATAACAACATATGAAGGGAACCACAACCACCCACTTCCGCCGGCGGCGATGGCGATGGCGTCAACCACGACGGCGGCGGCGAGCATGTTGTTATCGGGGTCCATGTCCAGTGCGGACCATAGCCTAATGAACCCCAATTTACTGGCTCGAGCCATACTTCCATGCTCGTCGAGCATGGCCACGATTTCAGCATCGGCTCCATTTCCCACCATCACACTAGACCTCACTCACACCCCAAACGCTCTACAATTCCAAAGACCGGCGGCGGCCCCGTTCCACGTGCCCTTCCCGGCCGGCCAACCACCGTCAGCCGCCGCCGCCCAATTGCCGCAGGTCTTGGGGCAGGCTCTGTACAACCAATCGAAATTCTCCGGGCTACAGCTGTCTCACGAGATGGGAGTGGGAGGGGGAGGGCCCAATAATTCCCATTTGGGCCACCCCCAAATTGCACAGCCGGCCCAGCCTGGGGCCGCCTCCTTCGCCGACACGTTGAGTGCAGCTACGGCCGCTATCACCGCCGATCCAAACTTCACCGCCGCTCTCGCCGCCGCCATCTCCTCCATCATCGGCGGCGCTCATTCCAATAATAATAACAACAACAATAATACCCCCACCACCACCACCACCACAAACAACAACAACAACGGAAGCACCAACATGACGTCAAGCAACAGCAGCAAAATTAGCAGTTTCCCAGGAAATTAAAATTTTAAATTAAATATTATATTAATCTGCCCATAGTTATATTACGTTGGTTAATCTTTTCTTTTTTTCCGTTTTGTCCTCGATTCCTAGTGGGGGTCGGTTTTTGTCCCTTTCTTTTTCCCTTTTTACTACTCCTTTTCATCATGTCCAGCATGGGGATAACATGTCCATACTTTTTCTTTTTATTTTGGGGGGAAAATTTAGAACACGACTTCATTATTCTTTCCAATTGTTTCATTTTGAATAATTATTATAATATATATATGAAAGGAAAGTATTTAATACAGCAAGAGAAAAGAAAAATCAAGTCTACATTGACTGTGTCAATTATGTCCAAGTTGTGTGCATTGATCTTTCTTGGTATTATCATCTTGTTTCAAGTTGTCCATAAATTTCAAACAGTTGAATGCGAAGGTTTGGAATAATAATATTGGGGACGTCAACATAGAGAAGATGAAGACAAAAGAATAATCGTCTTAGTCGGTGGCATATTCCAAGTCTTACAGTCAAGAAAATACGGCCAATTTCATTTTGACACGTAAAGAGATGTCATACCAAACTAACCCAAAAAAAAAAAGAAAGAAAAGAAAATTGAAGAAAAAGAAAAAGAATACTTGCAAGAGACTTCCGGACAACTACGTATTCTTTTAAAAAAATTATAATTAAAGAAGATGATTAGATGGGATCATGTTACGAGTTTGAATCTCTGATGCCAACATCTCTACCGGACGTGCCAGAAAAATTCAATTCAACTGCCAACCAAAATCAAACGTAGAGTGAATTGATGGCATTTTTTTCTTTCTTTGTTGCGTTGCGACCGTACCTCATCCAACCGTACAACAGATCTTTTACTCTCTTTCAGTGCCACTTTCTTTAGTTGGCCAAAAAAGTCTTCTTCGGTTGCACATGCAACCATGTGCATCCGATGCAATTTTTGTTTTCATTTTCTTAAAATATTGGGTTTGTTTTTCTATTTGTAATCTTATTTCTGACTCTAAACATTTCTATGTCTTCCTGAATTTAATGTACCGTTTCGGAGTAATTATTGATGGTTGGACAAAACTGCTTTGGTTGTCCACCCCTTAAAATACGATTTCAAACTTTGATTCTGTGTGCTTTTGGAAACGCAGAAACAAAAAGAAGGTTTGGTACAATAATTTCTCAAATTTTTATTAGTTTTTTACGTTTTTTTAATTTAAATAGAATAGATTTTAGTTGTTATACATTTCTATGTGCTATTAATGATGGTATTTAAAATGATTACTTCATAAAAAGTAAAATTAACACTTTAAAAATAGTAAGATAATTACTTTTAGAAAGTTGAGTTTTTATGTTTACTTTTAATATTATTTTATTAAAGAAATCCTAATTTTATGGGATAGAGATACCTTGTTTAACACAATTATTAATATTTAAAAAAAATCTCAAAGTGCATACAACTTCTGTGAAAAAAAAAACAATTTCAAATAATAAATTTATCTTTTTTTCTTTTTAATGATTTGAGTAGGATAAAATGAATAATTTAAATGGTTAGCAATTGGGTCACTCAACTTGGGTTATTTTAAAAGTTTGCTTTGTCTCTGTCCGATTAAGTGTGTGTGAAGACTAATAAACAAATATGAAATAAAGTAAAAAGAAAAGTACAATCTAAGCCATGCAAATCAATCATATGGAGGGGAGTCCTTGTTGGGGTCAATGCACTAGTCCTTATCTTCCATAAAATTTATTCCCACTATCTCAAAATATCAAAGTTTAAGTTCTTAAAATGTTAATATATAGAAAAAAATAGAGAATCTACAGAAAAATTTCATCAAATGTTTGTCTATATTAGAGAGACATTATATAAAAGTAGATATAAAATAGTGAAACAATATATAGGTAAATAGTAATTAGAAAATAGCTAGGTAGGTAAATAACAATAAATAAAAGGATAATTCATCCGAAATAAAGTACACCAAAGAAAATATTTTTTTTTCTTTTAATACAATAATTTAAAGATATGGGAGATCGAATTTATAAGCTCGAATGAATGAGTATTGAAAAATAAATAAAAGAAATATATATGTGTTTTTTAAAAAGGACATATAAAAAGAAAGTTAGTGTACAAAAATTTGTGTAAAAATTGTTAGTTCAATTTAGGTAAATTTGGTTAATTTTGTCGATTCAATTTTCAAAAAGTTCAAACTTTTTCCTAATTGGACTATAATTGGTCCGAACTGTCCCAGCCATTTCTACCTTTAGTGAAAGATTAATGTTATAATTTAATAATTTATTCCATTAAAAATATATATTATCTGTCTCGTTCACTTATTTAAAAAATATTTAAAATTTTATCAAACAAAAAATCGTGCATGAAAGTGTAGAAATACGTGACAGAGATTAAATAACACATTTGATAATGAAAACAAATATATAGACCTACAACTTTTAAATTTAAGTGAAGGTAAAAAATTTAAGTTTTGAGGTTCAATAAATATGTTTTGGATAACTAAAAACAAATGGGTCGGATTTTTTTTTCTTATTCAAAGAATTCTATCAATTAATCCCAATAAATATTGGTAGGTAGGACGAGGGAGAAAAACAAAATAAACAAATAAATATTATTTTAAAAAAATAATTCAAAATATTTATATTAATAGTGGAAGCTAAATGATATAAATCATAATAAAGTATAACACGATTTTTAATCAATTTTGTTAACTCATATCATTATCTCTTTATTAATCAAACCTACTCAATTGATGCTTTATTTAAGTAGACCTTTGTCTAAGCCTATATTAGTTTAGTTATGTTAGTAAATTAATATAATTAGTTTTACCTAACCATACCTACTTATTTAATTATTTTTATTTAATAACACCTAAGATAATAGCTTTATTTAATGAATTTATAATTCTAAATGGTAAAAGGAAAGAAGTTGAAAAAATCTATTGACATTCAATGGTGAAGTCTAAAACCTATGTTTGAGCATTCATAATCTAAACAAAAACTTACAGAATTGAGCAAAACATGTCATTAGATTTCAGCCTCAAGGTAAGGTGAGATATAAAAATTGACTAAAAATCAAATAAAACATTATTTAAATTGGGGAATTCAACAAGAAAAAATTAATTGGGGCTCTATTTGTACTATTGTTGTAAAAATTATTAAAAATATAGTATTTAAAAAAATCTTTAAACCTACCTATGCTTGATATAAAAATGATCGATTCATTTTAAATTATAAATTTTGAAGGTTGTTCTCATAAATAACTCACATTGTTTTTTTTTTTTTTAACTTCTTGAAATGCCACCCAACTTAAAATTATTTGAATTAAAAAAAATCTAAATCAAATTCAAATGCAACTTAAAACAAATTAAAAGTTACATTTATACTATACTTAAAAATAAAATAACTATAATATTTTCTAAAATATACATTAAATCATTGTTATGAAGGGAAATTTAATAATCATTCCAGTCCAAACATGTTTAACCATAGAGTTGCATTGTTGCAGTAAATAAAATAACTATAATATTTTCTAAAATATACATTAAATCATTGTTACGAAGTGAAATTTAATAATCATTCCAGTCCAAACATGTTTAACCATAGAGTTGCATTGTTGCAGTCAAATGATTGTCAAACAAAATGATTTTTTTTGTTGTTTTAAATGGGAGTGTATCTTGTTGGGATTGAGTACTATTTATCCATCATATTTTAAACTTTTGCAATTTTCAATTTGTTTATAATTTTAGAATCATCCCTATTTTAGTCTAGGGTTTATTCGTTCATGTATTTAAGTGTTATTGTGCCGTAATTGCAATAAGCTTGGTTCCCTCCCCCTCAAAATTTCATTGTTTTTTATTTAAGCCCATGTTTCATTTTTTTTCATAAATAAAATTCATTATCATTATAAAAAGACTAGATTTTATTACTTCGTAAATATATATACATATATGCACGCACACAGTTCTTTAATTCTAAAAATCTTAACAAATAGAAACTTCCTTAAAATATTTTTACTAGTTAGGTATAAATGTATGTTTTTTATCATAGTCAATAACTTTTTTAAGAGTGTTTTATTCCAAAAAAAAAAAAGCAAAAAACTTGAAAATGTTTGTGCAAGAACGAAACTTTAAACCGTGAAGACGATGAAAACCTTGGTTTCACACACTAAATAATGCAAAAAGTAGATACGACCAAATGTTAAAATTTAATGGTAAACAATTTTTGGGGGAA